ACCAAACATGTTATTTTTGTGGTCTTCTAACTCACTAATAGACAGATTGTGGCTACACTATTATTAATTATAGTTAATCGTTAATAGTAATATCACTAAAAGGTTTAATGATTACAAAAGCTGTCTTGTTTTTACTTTTTTATGTCTGACTAATTAAGCTATGCTGAAATATTAAAGAACCAACTGCTTAAAAAGTGAGTATTCATTAATGAGACTCCATTCTTGTCATCATCTTCAACAACAGATTCAATCCTCCTGGGCATGGATGGTATCAGTTTCACACCGTGTATCTGTTTGAATCTACTCTGCCAGTCTTCACACATGATTCCTTTTTGCTCCTCTGTGCTGGAGGGCTTTATTGCTCCGCTGTCCACTTTAAAACATTCCAAATGTGTTCCATTGCAAGTCAGGGGACATACTTGGCCAAGTAACAGGGCTGGGTTGGGTTTGGGCTGTTTGTCATGTTGGAAAATCACTCTCCTGCAAAGCTTCCTGACACTGATAATTATCTCTTTATTCAATATTTGGTTCTACAAACTTGCATTCTGGTGCCATCTGTAACTGTCATCATCCTTATACTTCTTGCACCCATGTAACCTCATATCAGCACAATCCCACCTCCATGTTTCATGATCTACACTATACAGTCAACGTGGTTGTTCGGTTCAGGTCCATGTCGGTCCCCGTCTGAGCTGGAGAAGTGTATTTTGGACACAGACTTCTTTTCACTGTCCTTTGCACCAGAGCAGACCCTGAAACATCAGTCTCCACAAAGAGATGTGTTTTTTTTAATAAAAGGTTGAGTAAATAGCAAACTGAGCACGGTGTCTTTTTTTTAGAAGATTGGCAATGCACCTTTATTGGTGCTGTGTCTCACCCTATTGTTAAGATGTGGCATATGGACCTTCTGATAACACTGATTCTGGGATCTAAGCCTCTGCTGTGTTGACTGAGGCTGCCGTTCTGTGTCCCTTGTTGTTTGAATAAATCTGAATCCAAAAAAGCTATTCAATTGTCTTTCTCCTACCTTCCTTCGATGCATGCGTTCCACATCGGTGCGAGGAACAATTTTCCTACCCAAATCGACAAGGCGATATCATGCCACTTGTCTCTGCCAATTTGGACACTTGCAGGTTCTGACTGGCCGTCAGCTGCACAACTATGTTGAAAACAATTTCAGCCTCACCCTAAGACTTTCAAAGGCACTGCCAGTGATGTGTTTGTGTCAGAAACATAGCTGTGGTTTGTAGTGGTCTCAGAATACTTCTGTACCCGGCCAGCGGGTGTCATGTTAACTAGCCGAACTGAAACAACCCTTCAAAACCTGGATGGTACATATTTAGCGTTTCATCTTCATTAAAGTTAAGAGTTATTGCAGTCCTGTATGTTTTTGTGTACTTAGAAAAACCTCAGTGAGACCATGGTCTGTCATCTTTTTTTGTTTTTCTTAAGGTTATTATTTTTGGCCTTTGTGCCTTTATTGGATGGTGCAGTGAGAGAGAGAGACAGGAAAATAGGGGAGAAGAACAGGGGAGGCCATGTGGGAAAGGGCCATGAGCAGGATTCGAACTCATGACCTCCACATCGGGACTGCAGCCCTGCACATGGGCCGCCAGCACAACCAGGTGGGCTATAGCGGCGCCCCATGGCCTGTCATCTTTAAGCCCGCTACAGACTTTGCGATTTTTGGCCGTCCCAGATTAAAGATAACAATCGTGAGAGAATCGTGGCGATATCTTTGGTCCTGGCTCTAAATCGGTGGTCCTACGTCGCACTGTGAGACAGGTTCAAGGACGGCCGTCGTCATGGTCTTGTGACCAAAGACAACCTGCGTAAAAATACAGACAGTGTCAGAAATTTGGGGTGAGCATCTCACAGTTTGACTGCTGCTGCGACCTATGACGACTAACTACCCAATAGATATGCAATATGAAATGACGTACTGATCAATGCGAGACTAACAAAATTGGCATCCCAAGTTGCCCTCTCTTTCTGAGCCACTCCATATTCTCCTCCTCCTCCTCCTTTTGTTGGGATTTCACTCTAAACACATAAATTCCACAAGGGCGACGGCTCTGTTCATGCTTCGCTTGTTTCTTTTTCGTGGATGGATGGCGCACGCTTATAACGTTATATTCTTGCGCATTCATGTACATCGTAGGCTGCGATTCAGCTTGCGTTTTCATTGTGCAATCTGCACACAGCAAACTTCATGTTGTGCCCAAAGTTTATTAGATTCACGTCGTACAGTGTAGCTAGCTGTGAACTTACAAGATTGTTAAAATCGCACAGTTTGTAGTCGGCCTGAGACATCAACTAGCTAGCTAGCTACTAACTGCTAACTTCTATCTCACCTCAATCTTATTCCCTTTTTCAAGAATGCAAAGACTCTACCTGTGATTGTATCACTTGGGGGACCAGCTCCACTAATCATCCTTTATAACCTTCGATGGTGCCTCACAGTAGAAGGAGATGATTTGAAAAGGAAATCATGACGTTACGCATTATGTCAGACTTATTCGCCACTGTCGCAACTACGTTTTGGCTTAAGTTCAGTAGCACATTGATGCTGTTGCATTTTGAAAAGTCTCACATTTATTCCAGTAGTTTCATGATTATTCGCACATTTCTTTACTGTGATGAGCCAACATGATTTAAATGGAAAAAAAAATGGTTCAGTGGTTCAGTTCACAACTAGAATCAGCCAACTCTGAGGCAACAAACTTCCCATTATCAGTCTGCTGGGACCAGGACAACCTCCTGCAACGCTAAAGGATTTTTAATTTGGTTTGTATCATAACCAGAACAGAACAAAGACCAGAGGAGCTGAGGGCTATTAATCTCCAGGGTTGAACTTTCACTGCTGCCTGAAGCATGGGTTTTCTTCTTCTCTTTTACACACACGCACTCGTATATATCCAACACTAGCGCACGCTCTCAGCTGGACATGATGGATGTCCCTTCTTCCCTTTGCTTCTCATCATCACAGTGTGTGCAGCAAAGAGAGAACTGGAAGAAAGCGCTTCTCACTGATCACATTTCACCTCCTGCTTTCTCCACCTTCATCCTTGCTCGGCTCTTCTCGGCTTCTGTTTTTTCCACTTCCCACACCATCTACACCTGATTGGCTCCAACAGACTGACTCCCTTTCACCTCGATAAACACAACCACATTAGATTTATTGATTGCTGTGCTCTACTGTGACTCTACACTCATCGACGGGTGAAACGATAATTCCGGCTCTGGGTTTATCCTGCAACTTTGAAAACATCTGGATTTCTCTTCAGTCAATCTCTCAGTCGGTCAATGTTCCTCCACTGACTTATCTCTGTTCCTCTACTTCTTAAGCATCCAACACTCCCTGGTATACTTCAAAAATACCCGTATGTGCTTGATACAGTATACAAGCAATGACGTATAGCGCTCATCAAGAGCGTACATATGTTCATTATTTTTAGTCCCTGACAAGGAAGTTAGCTGAATATCAGCAAGCCTAGTTAAAAATAACATAATAAGACTGCAGCAAAAACTTATCTTTGGCTCACAGAAAGTCTAGAAATACACAATCGTGATGAAAATCAACAAACAAGATATGAGAGTGTCACCCTGGAGGCAGCGAGAACTGAGCACAAACCTATTTTCCTGTGTGTATCTACAGTATCTCCAGGAGTTCAAATAAGGACGTTAGCATCTTGTTTGCCTTTCAGGTAGAGACCTCCAATAAACACAGCCAGCAAATCCATGCCAAGTCCCAGAATGGAAAGATAAATGAAATATGCTGTGTATATGTGTGTATATGTATACTGTATTCCAAGGTTATCATTCCCCCAGTTTCTTTATAAATTTTGCACTCAGCTTTATTTGAGCTCTTCAGGCAATCTAATTTGCAATGAGGGTTTTTTTTTTTTTTTCATCTTTCATATTTTCTTGAATTAAGATAACCTTTTATCGAACCAAACAAGGGGGATTTTGATTACATTTTCATAAAGCAAAAAAAAACCCAGTGGTATATATTTCACATGCTTAAATGCCTGACTGTTCAAGGAGATTTGGATGCGTATCTTATCTAAAATACATGACCACATGATGATAATGTAATCTGATGAAAGACATAAATTATGTATAACCACATGCAACAGTCTCTGTGACTTGTCTATCACAATATTGACATGAACTAAAAGCATATGACAACTTAGAAGACAAAAAAAGGAAGAAAATCTATTTAGAAAATATCTGATATATGCTGTGGAAAATGTGCAAGATTGAAGAAACAGCACAAGCTATCTGTCTTTAATGGATTAATGCAGCAAAGTACGTTGTCGTATTTAAAGGTGAACACGTGTTGCTGCTTCATTTAACCCTCTGAAACCCAAAACCTGCCGGCAGGTTTGAAAGGAATGTTATCTTTAAAAACTAAAAAGACAAAATGATATAATTTATTAGAGCCAGAAACTCTACAAACAGAAAGAATCACCAGATTTTTAATGTTCCAGTCAACTATTAATGTGTTCCACTGCAATCTTAAAGTCCCATTTCATCCAAATCACTTTATTCTAAACGTCTCATTTTAAAATTGTCCAAAAAAAAAACTGGTTGCTCAAACAAGATTCTGTAAAAAAACAAAAAAAAGTCTTCACACCTCAGCTTAACCGTGAAGTCATTAGTGATTCAGCTGCAGCCAACAGTCACATGACAAAAAAAATCTGCAACTTTTTGGCTGAATTGGGCGAAACTGCAAGCTGTGAACTGCAAGCGTACACACACATAAATAATCAAATTCAGCTTAAATTTTTTTCTTTTATGATTTATGGCATTTCAATTTTGCTATACTGCACAAAACCTGCTTTGAGTTCTCTCTACTTATAACCATGAATTTGCTGTTTCCATAGAGGCGCAGTGAGAAACGAGACCAAAGTTCAGAGGGTTTACAAATCAGACTAAAGCTCTCTGGAACCGATGGTTTTACTGATTCCTCGAGTGTAATCGCGACTCAATCGTACCTCGAAGACAGTGAGGGCGAAGGGGTGTCCGAGGTGGTGGTGGGAGGACAGCAGCACTTTGCGGTTGTCTCCGTTCAGGTCCACACTGGACAGCAGGTGCAGCTTGGAGTCCACCCAGTAGAGACGCCTGTTGGACAAGTCTGAGAAAACGTAGAGGGGCGAGAAAAAAAGAACAAAACCGAATGGGAAAGGAGAAAAGAAGGAGGGAGAGGGAGGTGGATGGAGGGAGAGAGAGGTCACACGGAGAGAAAAGGCCTAGGGTGAGAGGTATATGAATGTAATGGCCCAGTAGCTACACCATCAATCTTCTTTGACATGACGGCTGAGGCCCTGCGCTGAGAAAACACAGATGTGATTGTAATATTGCCGCTTGACTTCTTTGCTGGGGGAAAATATATGTGCCCTTGAGCAAATTCATTAGTCTTGCTGGACCTATTCTAAAGGAACACTTTGCTGTTTTACAATTCTATAATTCCCCTTGTATCGGTCCCCAGTACTATTTACATTAGGCCTGCATCATCTCTGTGCCCTTGCTATGGGCGGCGGAGTGGAGCTCTGGGTAACTTGAAAGTTTACTGATTGCATTGAACTTGACAGCAAAGGACATAATCCTGCAGTGACTTCACTTTTACCCAGATTACATTCACAAATGAAGAAGTTTAGGCAAAGAATCAGCATGAATGAGGATTACAGGCAAGTATTTTATATATATATATTTATAATTCATACACGGGGGTAGGAATAATGGTTATTCAAATTAATTTAGCTTCTCAATTAAGAAAAAGAAACACTTAGCAGCTAGTTTGTGTTTGCCAACAAGTTCAACCACTTAACCCTCTTTTAAGCTGGACAAATTTGAAGAAAAAAAGGAAGAAAAGCATTTTTTTTCCTTTTGGCTGTCACTGGCTAAATTCAATTTTCTGTTTGCCTAAAAACATTCAGGCAACATTTTAAACTGGCAACGTAATGGAAATCTACAAGAATGCTGCCAATGAAAGCGGGCATTTTGTCACATGCTTTGACAAATCAGCAGAGTAAACGCGAAAACATTATCATGCCAAAGAGAAACAGAAAAAAAAAAAAACCCCAAAACAACACATAGTAATTTTCATTCACCTCTACTGACTCAGACAATCACCTGCTCTGTTTGCTTCTCTGTCTGAAATCAATGACCAGGGGAAAATAATCCACCCCTTCTCTCACAGCAGTGCGGCGCAAGTCTGACCAACTCTCTCATTCGCCTTATTCTAAAAAATAATTTGTTTTCATACAGATGCGGCGACACCTCAATTCCACAGAGTGTGGCAAGTGTGTGCTTCTATTTCTCCTCAGGCAAGGGCAGCTGAGAGAAATTGGCTGGTGCTGCAGAGGGAGTTGAAAGGGATGATGGGAGGTATCGACAGCACAAAGCGTCTGGCTTATTAATTCGTAGACCCATACTCGCTGGCTTGATTGATGAGAGCCAGACACAAACTGAGCTACAACAATAAGAGCTACTTGGGTTGCAGCACCTCCAGACTATTTTCTTCTCGCAACTCTTGCTGTTTGTCTCTCTTTGTTTCCCTCCATCTCCGTTGTTGCCTTTTTTCTTCGCGTTGAATTTACTCAAGCCGCTTTTTCAGACTTTCTAAAAGCAATGTCAGCATTATAACTTTGTTAGTTCAGAGCTGATTGACATATCTGTCTGTGTCTACTTTTGTCTGCCCTCTACAATGAGCCTTGTGTACTAAAAGTGAATTATTTGCCTTACCCAGAGTGATTCCATTGGGCCACTCGATGTGCTCATACACCAGAACTTGTCGGTCCACTCCGTTCATTCCAGCCTTTTCAATTTTGGCCTGACCTCCCCAGTCTGACCAGTACATGAACCTGTGGAAACATTCACAGAGGAGATAGTAACAAAAAATCAGTGCTAAGAATAAAAAATAGTCTCTTTTCAAAAACAGTGAGCAGCTTTTAAATTACAATTTTTCATCAATTTTCAGAGGATAAAGAAGAACTAATATCTCACTGAATACTCTATCACAAAATGTTCCCATCTGTCTCCGCTTTTATCACATATTTCTCTCCAAAATGATCTAGTTTCGCTACTGAAACAGGCTTTGAAGACACTAAAGGAAAAGCAGATACTGTGCAACACAGAAAGTACTGGAAACTTGGACCGCTTCTGAACGCGTCTGTTTATGAGAAACCTGCGAAAGCCTGGCTTCATTTGCATGCACTGAGCTGGGAAAAGACTCCTTTGGGGAACGCAAGACATCCGAGGCAGAAAGAGATGGGAAAGAGTCACATGGTATCTCTAAATAATTGTTAAACTGCCTAATCTAACAGATCGGTCCAGCACCACAAACAGTCTATAATAACACTGGCTCTACACTATACAAAGAACGACAATGACGGCCATGGGCTTATCAGGCCAGTCTCTTATTCCCTTCTTCCTGCCTTTTCACTCAGTTCCACTGCCATCCTCTCATGCTTTATCCATCTGGCAAACACTCCCCTCACCCTAAAACTCCTCCAACTCACCCTTGGTGTGGATCCACTGCGATGGCCCGTGGCTCGCTCAGCTCAGTGGCTATCAGCACTTTCCTCTTCCTGCCATCTCCTGTGGCCACAGAGATGCTCTTGTTGCCTGAATCCGTCCAGTAGATGTTCTTATGGACCCAGTCGACAGCCAGGCCCTCAGGGGAGTGGAGCGAGTCGATGAGCGTCACCTGCTGCGATGAATCACTGGCCTTGTTGATGTAAGCACTGGAGAAAAGCAGTGTGGCAGTAAGTAGACTGGATATTGTGAGATCTCCAATAACTCAGGAACAGGCAGAAGTAGGGAGAGAAAATCACAAAGGCTCTGTCTATTCTGTTTTTCTTTTTCTTTTGAAGAAGGATTTGATCATGTGGGGAGGGTACCTTAGACCTTGGTTGGGAATAGGCATTTTCTACCCTATTTGGGTGTGGTGAGGGGCAACTCAGATGGAGATCTCTATTTACCCTCTTAATCCAAAAAAACCTGCTAGTGGGTTCAAAAGGGACGTTATTTCTTAAAAGTCACCAAAATGACACCATCTACTAGAAGCATAAACTGTAAATACCAGAAAGAATTGTCAGATTTTCAACTTCCCGGTCGTCTTTAAAGTCATCCTCCGTGACATGGCGCTCCATTAGGAAAACTCAACCTAATCTTGAAACAAACTCATCTCATTCTACATATTTTATTTCAAGATTTTTCAAAAATAAACAGTTTGCTCAACTAAATTATGAATGAATGAATGAATGAGGGCTGCAGGGTGGCGCAGTTGGTAGCACTGTTGCCTCGCAAGGTTGCCGGTTCGCGTCCCGGTGGGGGCACCGGAATCTTTCTGCGTGGAGTTTGCATGTTCTCCCCGTGCAGCGTGGGTTCTCTCCAGGTTCTCCGGCTTCCTCCCACACAGTCCAAAAACATGTTGAGGTTAATTGGTGATTCTAAATTGTCCGTAGGTGTGAATGTGAGTGTGCTTGGTTGTCTGTCTCTAAGTGTAGCCCTGTGATAGACTGGTGACCTGTCCAGGGTGTCCCCTGCCTTCACCCTAAGTCGGCTGGGATAGACTCCAGCCCCCCCGCGACCCTAGTGAGGATTAAGCGGTGTAAAGATAATGGATGGATGGATGGATGAATGAATGAATGAATGAATGAATAAATCTGTGACTCATCTGCGGATTCTGGGTTGAACTATAGGATGAACTGCAGGCTGTGCTTACACACAGTAAATTGTCTATAGTATGTAGAGACACAAACCATTTTTTTTCCAGTATTGGCAACAAATGGGAGCCCTTGGAAAAATGCTCTACATGTTGAATTCCAGTAATTTTTTTCAAAATAAATATTCAAAGAAATGAAATTTTGTTTTGTGTTTAGGACTTATGGCATTATACCTGTGCACAAAACACATTTTGTAGACATTCTACTTCTAGCCATGGTTACGCGGGACTTTATATTGGAGTGAAAAATGAGCTCACAGTGAGTTAAAATGCAGCAGGAGGAAAAAAATATCGCCCTGGGGTTCAGAGGGTTAATGACCTCAGCCCTGCTTCCAAACAGCACCTCACAAAGAGAATGAGTCTGTCTTTATCTATCAGCAGCATACAAAACAACTTTCTCTGTTTGTGTCACTCTCCGTCTCGGTGTCTGTTCCTCTCTTGTCTCCTCAGTTTCTTTCATTTTCCTCTGGCTGTCACTCAATTTCTGTCTATTCCTCAGTCTCTTTTTTTCGTTTTCTTTCTCCCCCTTCTTCCCTCAATTCCTTCACCAGTAACACATGATGAGATGCAGGCACGTTATTATTTTCACTACATGACAAATCAGCCTCGTTAGAAGGCTGGGAAAAGCTACATTCCAATTCACACAATGCCGTCACATGTTAGCAAAGGGTACACAGGAATGAAGAGGACGAGTATGAACGGGAGGAGCATGTTAACTAAAGGAGAAGGCTGGCGACGGATCTGGAGCATGAGGTTCGGTAGAGATGGATGAGACTGGGACTTGGAAGCAGATTGTGTTGTTAATTGACTGTGTTACTGTTTGCCACCCCAGACGTCTTCATCGTTGTAGGCGGGGTGTGGTGATGGTGGAGACTGTGTTCCTGTGATAGATAATCTAAGGCTTCTCTCTTCTCTCTGGTGCCTCAGGGTTTATAACATAGATCCAACACCTGTCTCTCCCTCAGGGGGCAAATGAAGATGAGGGCTGAAGCAAAGTGGACGTGGATGAAATCCCACATGTTATTGATGCACGAGTGGTCTATTTAGGAGCTGAACTGTAGATTAGATGACAGTGGGACCAAAATCAGATTTTACACAAATTCTAAAAACTAAGACAGCGTTATCTTGTGTTACGATACTGTCTGTCCAAAGTAAAACACATCTCCATTAAATCCTACATGGATGACTTTTAAAACATTCTAGTGCGACACATTACGCACAAACTGTTCATGTAATTTCTCCAATATTTAATCGGTGCTTGTACAGACTACTGGTATGATCGTCGTTATTTTTAGTTAAAAATCTTCACTCAGACTGGGATAAACAGGTTGGAGGGATGAATGGAGGCCACAAGCTGCAGTGAAGAACAAGACAGAGACAGATGAGTCCAAGACCACTGAGCAGATTGCATCTTTAATTGGCTGTACTATTGTCTGCACTAGACATCTCCATCACGGGGAGAAGTTAACAAGTCATCGACCCGTAGCATGCTAATCACTGTGAATTAGCCTGGAAAACCACATCATCACGGTGAGGGCGAATGAGGAGGGCGCGCTTTAGAATGCCTAGCTATTTACATTACGATAAGACACATCTAATTGCTTGAATGTAGGGTCATTTGTTCGTATTAAACAGAACACCACAATGTGACAACACACAACAGATTTTGTTGCTAGAAGCATCTGAGTATGAAGAAATACGCTGATAAAGATAACTTTGGACTCTTCATGTGACCTAGTGAGCTCCAGCTGGTCAGTTGTCTCCCTAGTCAAAGTAGAGAACCATCAATAACCTGGCTTGTGTAGATAATGTGGATGGAGATCTATCTGGACATGATGGATCTGTTACAGAACAGCAGAAGACAAACACATAGTAATATCAAATAGACTGGATATTAGTGGTGTAATGGACCTTGGCTGGTCTGTGTTCCGCATAGAGTCACAATTCAGCATGCACAGATTTATTGTAAGGTTTAGCCATCAAGTGAAATACAATTTTATTGCCACTGTCATTTCTTAAAGTAACTAGCAGGGCCTTTGGAAAGCTTGGTCCCCTGCTTAGGCCCTTTCTTGAAATTTTAAAGAAAGTGTTTTAAATTTAATTGGCCGTGCGTCACCTCCCCACCAAGTGTCATGAATTATGACCCGGTAGAACAAACCGCACCGCAAATGATGCAGATTTGCAATGACAATATACAAAGCACATGAACAGGGCATGTTAAAGCAGCTGAGAGTGACAGTCACGGCAGTATTTGCCTTCCCCTCCTTTTTTTTGTTTTTTCTGCTTTAATCCGATCCATGACTTACAAGCCAGGAAGCCAAGGAGGTAAGCACAACCCCGAGTAAATTAAACTGTACAACTTCACTTGTTGCTAGAAGCTTAAAGTAACTGCGTACGCCTGAGTTTATTTACCGCTTCGAAAATAGACTTCATCATGAAGAATGAGTTCATTTGTCCTTTCTCTGTCACAAGCCCTTGAGTGTATCACCAAGTTTGTGTGGGAAAATGTGTGTGTATGCAGATGAGTAATGGCGGTGATTATTGAGGCAGTGAAATTAGAGCGAGCATATGGCTCAGCTGAGATGATAGAAGGCCCCTCCCACTACCTGCCAACCATCAGGGTGACACCGACACACACACACACCTCCATACGAAGCTGTGATACACCCACATAGCCGTGTGTAAACGTGTGCGTTCACATATGTGTGTGAAGGACAAACAGCTCCACCTTTTGCTGTCAGACAGATGACACAGCCCTCCAGGTGTGTCTGCCTCGCTCCCAGAAGGTGTGACAGGATGAAGCAGAGAAGATGGATGGATAGAGGGGAGAGATAATGACAGGCTGGCTGAAGAATGAGGAAAGACAGCTATCCAAACTTCTAAGGTCCTGGCACGATACGCCCCCTTTCCCGGATCTATCATCAACCTTTCACACACTCGCAACAAGATCAAGCGTAACTACTACAGAAAGGTATTCCCTTACACCTTTGCATTGTTCCTCATAATGGTCTTCTAATTACTGAGATGATAAGTGAAGCAGTAAAAGGTTACCAAGTTCTACTTTTCACCTCTCTGTAGCAGTACTTAAGGCTGTATGCACTCAGAAAATATGCAGCCAAAAAGTACATCTGATGAGTCACTGTGTGTGTGTGTGTGTGTATGCGTACCTGTATATTTTGCGATGATACAGATCACACCAGAACATCTTGTTGGTGGAAACGTCCACATCCAGGGCCACGGCATTCTTCAGCGTTGGAACCACTTGTGAGTATTCGCTCTTCAGCAGGTCAATGCGGCGGATTTCGTGACGGTTGGTGAACATCAGGTACGGGCTCTTTCCTGATGGAGAGGGCAAGACATCTGAGTCATGATCACCTACAAGCTGAAGAACATTTTCAGCCACTGATGTACTGTTTCACATTGAGACGACTGAACAGACGTCACAAAGCTCAGGATTTAAGTGGAGGCTCTATCTATGATTGTGACCCCAAAAGAAGGTTTTTATCATCTAGTGACACGGGGCATTATGATTACTGTTATTTGTCAACCTTGACAATGAATGATAAATTGCACAACACATCCCAAACCTGTACACGAGTGTTTCATTTGAATATCTTTACCACTGCTAATGTGTAATCCACACTATTCCTGAGGGTGAGGTACACATGGTCACAGTGACTGTCTGCCAGAACTTTTCATTGGCAGCACATAATGTTACCAGCAACAAGACCTTGAAATTGTTTGATATGAAAAATAATAATGATTAATTATGCAAAATTTGAGTATCACTGAACACAGAAACATTCTTTCTCTTCACTTAAACAGTGAAGCAAAGATGACAAGGGCATACTGACAGGGCAACTTCTGCCCTTGACTCCATTAGGCAATACATTTAAAATCAATTATAAAATAACAATTGTACAACTATGTCAGTTTGGCTAAATAGTGACCAGAATCAATAACTGTTTCAGTAATAAACTGTATATAAAAGATGGACATAGCCACTATAAAGTCACCAAGTAGATTGTGAACTGCTACGCTGAAGCCTTGAGCTTGGCATTTGGCTGTCGCCATCTTCGTCTTTTGACAACTGAATGTAACAAGCGAGGGTTGATCTGAATGAGAACCCTACATCAGTGACCTGTCGATCACAGGGTAGCTCTCATCTAAAGCATACACTGCTTTACTGTCTATTTAATTCTAAGTGGGAACATAATTTACAAAACAAACGCCATGCTGTATTTAGAAAGTCCCTGAACTAGCAATTGAGGCCGCAATCTAACAAAAAAAATGTTTACAGAGTTCACAAGTCCAGTGAGAAATAGGCTCATTTTCTCATAGACTTGTATACAATAAGCCTTATGTTCGTAACCAGAGAAATCACCCCCTGCTGGCTGTTAGAAAGAATGCAGGTTTAAGACACTTGTAATTCGGTTGTCGTGAAGTACTGGTAATAGCCTTCATACTGCTGTCTACAGAGATACCACGAGTAACGCTGAGTGTTGATTCTTATTCCCAGGATGGAACATAATGTAAGCCAACTTGTTGTGCACTTGTGCTATTTAGGTCCTTAAAGCATGTATTTTTGATGCTGTGAGCATAAATAAATCATCTTATGCAACCTTTAAAATGAAAATGTATTCTATCTACACTCGTTTTGGCACATCGTGTTATTCACCTAATTTTTCACTCAATTATGCGTCACCAGCGAGCAACACATGCATTATGTGATTTGGCCCAAACAAAAAGCAAAGACGAGGTAAAAAGGCCACATCCATTCAAAGAGAAGTGTCTCTGAATATTCATGTGAGTGTATATCTTGCTGCTGAATAACAAAAAACAGTATGCGTGTGAATAAAGTAGCCTAACGCACAGATGTGACAGATTCTATTTTTAGCCCAACTATGCGTCAGAAATGTATTTCTGGGTTCTCTTCTTCAGGTTCATACAATATGTGTTGTTCGCTGGCACACTGGTTTACCTGGGGCACATTTTTCAGCAGGCTGAAGGTGAGCATGACTCACACATTTGAATAATTCTCGTTTAGTCGACAAGGTCAACTTCATCTTTACACACAGATCCCCAAAATAGTTTGTGTGCATGCCAGCATATGGTAGCGACACCTGAATGCACACGTGAGGCTGCATTTTTTCCCCCCCAATGTCATTCATCAAACTACACTCCAACAATATCCTTTTAGTTTGGATGAAAAATGATGCTTTGTGCTACATTTGTATTTTTCTTTCTTTACCACAGATCCCTATCCATTTCATTTTCAAGCTCATTCTGCTTCATCTTCACTTTTCTCTCCTGTCTGTCATGAAACTCTTGACTCTCCACCGTCCAGAAAATACCACACACACACACACAAAAAAAGAAAAACACACTTAAACAAGAGACAAAGTTGGCCAGCAGTCACACTCATGTGCACGCACAAGCACAAACTCATGCTTTTCACACAGAGCCAGGCACGCCTCGGCAGGTTTCCTCAGCCCCAGTTTACTACGGGCCGCTGCACAGGGAGAAAATATTACATTTCCACTACTGTTTGGATACAATCATTTTCCTCTGACTACTGGGTTTGTAACCATCAATTTCACCTGCTGAGAGATGGAGATGGAGAGAGGAGAGAGGTGGAGAGAAAAGGAACGAAGCAAAGTAAGAGACAGGCAGAAGCGAATGTGATGGATGCAGGTACAGTCATGGAGAAATGAAGAGTAAGATGATGTAATTAGGAAGGGGGAAAGAATGAAGGAAAGACATCAACAGATCAAGTGACAGCAGGGGAAGGAATGTCAGGTGGGTGGAACCAGAGAGAGGGAAGCGAGAAACAGGATGAGCAAAAAAAAAAGAGCATGAATATTTTGAAGCATGTATAATGACAGAGACAGATCTAACTTCTCTTGCATCAATCCCCCTGACTCACTTCTTTTAGACAACATCTCTTATCCCTCATCACTGTTGGCGCAAAAAAAAAAAAAAAAAAGCTGAGTCACCGTTTTCCTCAGGCCCCGGCACTGGAGATGTCATCAAAAAAAAGAGCAACAGTCCCACAGAGCAACAGTCAGCTATCTTAACAAGAACACGGTCCCCCAGATACATTTTAATCTGTACCGCCAGTTCAGAGCTGCCCGGCCCTGTTAGCCAATTAAGATAAAGCTGTGAGAAGATAAATATGGGCCGGGGAGAACGCCATTAGGAGCTGCAGGAGCATTGATTTGATTCGCACCAAAGAAGATGTTGATGTTATGAGATTTGCAAAGTAATAAAAAAAAAAAAAAAAAAAAGTCCAACATAAAGCCAGTCGGAAAGGTCAGAAATAATGGTGAGAAATTTTGCAGGCTGATGGGGATGTTCAGTTTGCAGCCGGCGCGAATGAACCCCAGCCCGAGGAGGTTAATAGGATGATGTTATGTCTGGAAGAAGACACACGTGTCTAGGTCAGCTGTGCTTGTTAAGACACACAGACCATATCATATAATGATGAAGAGATGCAGCCAGCAGAGAACAGAAATGAACTTTCTGTCAACAACTTGTGTCAAAAGTCATCCAACTCGCTAACTTTCCTCATGACAAAGCAAGTTATATAAGACATCATTATCTCCGTGGTGAAAGGCCACCGTCTCCATGAGAAACCGTTGAAGTTCTTCTTCTAATAACGAAACAAAAAGAACGTTTCTGTGCACATACATTTTAAAGTTGTGACCGTTAAAAAGCTTAATAAATCACTGGAGGTATAAATACGAGAATGTAAATGACACAAGTAGAAATGTGTACCCTGGATTAATATCAGTAATATCCCTGCAGGCAGACACAATAAAATGGGTTACGACTTCTGAGATGAATTTTGACAGCATTCCACAACACGTCGGGTCCCATGGCAAAATCTTTTGACAATGGGGAAAATCTGACCACTGCTTTAAACCCATTTTGAAAAGTGTGTGCTCAAACTGTCAAGTGTTGCACAAACTGCTCTTGGCACTGTGGTTAAGCCTGCGGTGCACTGTAGATGAGGGAGAGGACAAGCAACAAGGGAAGGAGACGAGAGCTAAAGAAAAGAAAGCAGCACTTTGGTCCAGAGGCACTTTGTAAATTTCCTCTGCGTTGTTGCGACAGCGTGTCCTTCTTTCATCAAACAGTTAGCGTGTTCCTGTACCTGTGATGTCTTCCCACTGCTCTGTCACATCCGTCTTGTTCTTATCCTACCTGAGAATTTCATCAACTTGTATTAGATTCTTTTTCGTCCTGCACAGCCAGGCCGTTCGCTAGTGACACAGCGCTGTGTAGAATCATCTGTCTGCCACTCATTGCCATGCATGTTTGTATTTCTTTTTTTTTTTTACTATATTTTTTTTTTTTTAGCTTTTTGCCCTTTATTTTAGAGCAGTAGAAATAGGCAGGAAAGAGGGGAGAAGGATAGGGAGAGACCTGCAGCAAATGGTCGCGAGCAGGAGTCGAACCCACGACCGCTGCGTCGGGGAACTGGAGCCCCTGTTCATGGGTCGCCCACTCATGTTTGTATTTCTTTAAACCAATCACAGTGATCATGGGTGGGGCTGAGAACAGTATAACAATGATTTTAAAAAGTCTTGCTTTATTGCAAGACTCAAATATTTAGCAAAACTTTACATTTTCCGCGTGTAGGTCACTGTTTGTGTTTCCCATATTGAAAACGGTACTGTACAGATTGCTCAAGAGTGAGAGAAAGCTGTGTGAAATGCACAGCCAATAGCAGGCTTCTACTTGCAATGTACATCCAGTGAGTCAGACCAGATTATTTAAACCCTTATGCAACCGAGACATTCAGCATACAACGACTACCAAATGGGCTTCGTGAGCAACCCAAGAATAAACTACTGCATTATGAGACACAACTATCATAGTAAAATATTAACTGTTTCCTTCTCTATCTATTATCAGTTATGTATTTAATGTCATGTACAAATTATTTTTATTTCAGGAAAATTACACGACATAAGAAAGGACATAATATATGCTTTCCTTCAATACAAGCTTGCCATTTTTATCCCAAGTATAGTTCACATTTGTACTTAAAAGCTTATTTTCTGGTATAATTTTATTTTCAGTCATTTTATTAAACAATTATTTGTGTTGTGTTTTTACATCTCAAGAGCCCAGCAATGACAAATATGTTCAGTCTTAGACTCTCTTCCATTGTTTTCTTAAATAAAACAACACTCATCCAAAACAATATTATAGACATATATTGTACATTTATTACATAGACATGTTGAAGCTCTGACAAACTCCTAAGATCTTCCTCCGTCTAGCACTCTCCCTCTGCAGCCTCATAAACGGTTGCGTTTGTGCATTTCCCCCACACCGACACATGGCTTGGTGGTTATTTTTACACCCCGCCTCTCCATCCCTCTCACACATACACTAAATTCCCACTCTTTCTCTCTCTCTCTCTCTCTCACACACACACACACACCAATAATAATAACTCAACTTGACAACTCAGTGAGTGGCATCACATCATAAAGGTGTAAACACAAAAACAATGAATGCAATTAGTGTAGAGCAAAACTTTCTTCAGAGGACTTAATGGATGCTGCCATGTACTGATACAAACACTTGCGCGCGCACGCACACACACACACACATACACAAATACCAGCTTAGAAAAGCAAATGCAACCTGGGACTCTACTTTTAATTAGCATTGCTTGTGTAACAGTTGTGTATTACTCTGAAATTAATCTGCAGAGCCATGAACCACGTGCTAGGATTAGAATGGAATACACTTTAGTATACATTAGAGAGGTTTCACTGAGCTTTCAGGAACTCAACAATTATCTACATAGGCTGAACTCACAACAGCAGCAGCAGCAGCATATCTATATGTAGGATTAGCTTGAGACATGGCTTGAGGTTGACAGGGAGGCATTTTTACAGCCTGAACTTCAATATGTGATATTGGCACTTGGCACGTGTCACATCTCATCACAGAACGCGACATCCCTCCTGACCGGTCGGTCACGGGGGGAATTGCATCTGTACAGAAATTAGGATGTGACTCCAAAATAACAACATGTGTGAGCAGAATGTAAAGTGTAGACGTATGCTGATTCCCACGGGCGTGCATGTGTGTGAGATCGGGTGTGTTTAGAAATGAGTTTGTGGGCAAGTGCAGCTTCATTAAATCCACATTACCTCAGGTTCACAAAGCAGGCATCTCTCTATTTATGGCTCCGTCTCTATCTGCTACTCTGAATAAACAATAATCCTGTCACATTTCAGTCTCTTCCTCTGTCTGTCTCCTTTGGCGTGCTATAACATGTGTAATCGTGAACTGCACGGATACAACGCAGCGCCGCATTGACGAGCGGGGAGTTATTCATACAACCCATCCGTCCTTTCATCTATCTTTTTTTTCTTCTCAGCTTATCTATCCTCCTCTCTAATAAATGCCTTAGCCTCTGACAAGGACTGTTTGCTCTGCCTAACAGTAATAAAGATTCACACAGAGAGACATGAAGCAATCAATGGAGGTTTTTATGCCACTTAGCTTAGGAGTGAGGGTCTGTTTTCTGCTTAAAGCTCTCTCATTACCAGACCAGTTCACCCTGTAATGACTTAACCTAAGACCGTAATTACTAATAACGCTCTTTTCTCTCTCTTTTCTCGCCCCAAAAGTTAATTTTCTGCAGGAGTCAATCAGTTAAATGTTCCATTTCGAATTTATCTCTCTGGCTAGTTCTAAGGAATTAACACTGTCAGAACATGAAGCTGTTTTTTTCAGTAGAACCACAATGTATGGATAAAACACCGAGTATAGTTTCCAATAGAGTCTTGGTTAGCAGGTACAGCAGGTACCCGTCTGTTCTAGGGCACACTGTTGTGCATTGTACACACTTCTGACCGTCACTTCTCAGTACTGTTAGATGTCAAACATATATAAACACTACGCGCAGGTGCTTTAAAGTTGGCGAACAACAACACTGTTATCGGTAAAGCCAGCTGTAACGAAGTGAAATCTGGAGGGGGCTGATTAAAAACACCCAGAATTCACTTGGAACTTTTTCAAAAGGCAGTCTCCGGTGCAACTAATAAGCTACAATACAGTTGCATGTTCACTTCTGGATTAAAGAAGACCATTTTTCAATAACACTTTCGCCTAGTGCAGCTTGGAGGACAAGATTTTATTTTCATTCATAGCACTGCTCAGAGTGTTTGCCCTGGCCAACAAGGGGTAGAGACCCTGCCTGTAGCCTATAGTGCACCCTCCCTGCACAACATCCTTCTCTTGACACTCGAGGGAGCGCGGAGGCAGCTGGCTGCAAACTTTTCATTAGTGAGGACTGCAGAAAAAAGATGGCAAATATTTATCTTTGCACAGATTGCTGTGCAGAGCCTGCATACAAAGCGAGCCTCTCCTTTCACAGAGTCCCACTCTGTGAGAATAGCGTAGGATGTGAGGGGTAGTTAGGGCTGCTGGAATGGGAGAGTAATTTATAATGCGTATGTAAGAGCGGGTCTTGATGTGTGTTTCTTTTCAAGTAAATGTGTGCCCATGAATGTATTTTGGTGAGATCATCCATCTATGACAGCGAGCGTCCTCACCCATACATATATGTGTGAGCATGTGTGCGGCTTACCCACGGCTTTGCAGGTCTTAGAGGCGGGATCCATCTCGTAGCCTTCGTAGCACTCACACTTGTAATCTCCTTTGTAGTTGATGCAGATCTGACTGCAGGCGTCTGGGTTCTCACACTCGTCTATGTCTGGTGAGGGAAACAAGGCAAAACGACAGGAAGATTGAAACAATGTGCTACAGAGACGCACAAAGTCATTCTTGTGTTCGGAGTAAGAAGTTACACATGTACATCTTCAGATTTTAGCATGTTTCTCAAGAGAATCTTCAACTGAAAAAGCGTTTTTGATTCTTCAAAAGTCATTTCATTCATTGTAGAGTTTCAAAATAAATGATAAGATCTTAGTTGGAGAAATGTAAATGTAATCTTTTAAACCATCATTGCTTTTCTGAATATCACAAATCATTTTAAACAATTTGTAAACAATTCTGCCCCAAGAAATTCGCTTGTTCACCAGACAAACATCTATAAACATCTTGCAAATAACATAAATGTGAAACATAGCAATGTTTAAGAGTCCTTTAAACATTTCTTTTTTTAGTAAATAAATAAGAACAAATCTGCAGACCACACTAAACAGAATCTCCAGCTACAGCAGGTGTTCCTATAAACCCCTACTGATAATAGGGATTAGTCAAGGAACTGTAGTGAAGCAGTAAAAAGATATAACATAACAAGTACAGTGTACGCTGATCTGTTTAAGATCCATCCAACATTCTGGACTGGCAGCCTCACTATGACGACGGCTGCTATATGAAGACATAGCTGCTCTTGAATCCAAAGTCTCTGCATGTATTAATAAGATATAACCACTAAAGTAAATAAGACAGCTTCAGAATTGTTGAAGGAGGAGGTTTTCAGCAGAGTTCTTCTCCAATGCTTTGGTTAAGTTATTACAGACCTACAGTATTTTTGTTACTGTACACAGAAATTGCCAATAATCTTAAAGACCTTTGTTAACATTTCCATGTGGGGTTTTTATATGCTACAGACACACTGTGAGTGAAATAGGTTGTCATGGCTGAGAATTTCCACTTTTAAACTGCAGTGCACCAATAACAACCTTTAAAAAAACACAGATTCAGACAGCCTGGGTTTTCTTTGTAATATACGCAAGAACCAATCCAGCCAACTTGCAGTTTGAAGCTTTGGCTATCATCGGTCTTCAGAATTGGTTTCTGAGTTGACCATGTACTTCAACATATTACAACTTCCCATTCTATAGCGTAGAGCAGCTTTGCAACGTTGGAGCAAACTTGTAGCTGAGCAGGTGGCTCCGAATGTAGAAGAGTAGCAGAGGGTCGGCTGGAGGGAGAGGCGGGGACCAATTTGCATATTCATAGATGTGCACATAGTAAAGGAGGCAAACATGTAGAGGTACATCTAAACCATGTTCAGGCAACGAGACATTATTTTCATGAAAAAAACTTTTAAATGTTTAATTTTGATACGCACAGATGAGTTTTGAGGAGTTTAATCAATGACCAGAGAGGGACTTTAAATGGCGGTCTTGAGCAAATCATGTCAACCTTGTGGACAAGGTTAATAGTTCTGTGTCTGATTGAGCTCAAGGCAGAAAAGAGTTGATCAGGTTTTGTCGTTCCAGCCCTGATAAGATATGATTTCACTTTTCTTTATATGTTTAGGGCTGTAAATTTGTTGCATAACTTGTTTTTTTTTATTACCTCCACAAGTCTTTTTGTCCAGAAGTTTGTAGCCGGAGGGACAGTCACACTCATAACCAATTCTCCGGTCCCTGCAGATGTGAGAGCAGCCACCATTGTTGTCCGCACACTCATTCAGGCCTGCAGAGAGAGAGAGACGGAGAGAGAGAGGCAGCAGGATGAAGGACGGAGGAAGGGACAGGGATGGGATGGGAGGAATAGGAGGAAGTAAAGAGGAGTTGACTGCTGATGAAAAAACTCCTGCAGGTTTTTGGACGGAATAAATTCCGCCTGCATATGACACAAAGAAAGAGCTGGACAGAAAGACGAAACACCCCACATGGTCAAAAGTTTGTGTGTGTGGATAGTTTTCATCATCCTGCCAGTTAAGGTATTTTTGTCCTCTATAGCGTGTCTGTATACATCAACGTTTCAAAAAGCAAAGACAGTGAGCTTAAAAGCAGCGGGAGGAGAGAGACAGGGATTTGTGTGTGTGTGTGTGTGTGTGTGTGTAGGACATTCATCTTTGTGTGCGTTCGTGGCCCACAGGCTCCGTCGCAGCCAAACGCACCTGGAACTGATCCATTCTCCAACAGGGAGCTCGGCCTGTACCAGGTGCCACTCCACCATAATGCCTATTGTTACACAAGCACATGCTCTCCTTCATCCTCTCATGTCATTCTCCTCGTTCTCTCCTTGTTTTTTTTTTTTTCTTTCTTTTTTAGCAGAACAGATCGGCCTCCCTCTCAGTCATCCTTCCTTTCCTCTTTTGTATCTGTTCCTGCACCTCCATTTATCCCTTTGTCTTTCAACGACCCTCCTGGGAGCGAGGAGAGATCGCTGCAGAAAGCTAAAGCTGGTACTTCATTACCGGTTTACATTAAAGATTTAAGCTTCAAGGCTACAGGTACTGCTGAGAGACAGAGACTCTGGGAGAGAGAGACAAAGAGAAAGGGAGAGAACGACGGCGAGAATGGGAATCGAGGGGAATCTGACAGGGAGAGAAAGTGGGAAGTAAAGACTCTGACGGATGAGTATGGCATTCAACTAAAATTAAAGCTGTAATTTAAAGTGTGGCTGTTGTATTTTATCAGATAACAACACACCAGCTCAGTGTTAGCTTGGTCCTCGAACGCAGCTAATATAACAACATGTGTTAACCGACATACTGGAGGTCAAATGTGTCTTCTGTCCACATTTGTATACTGTTGGTCAGGGGTTATTTTTTTTATGGTTTAGTTCCAGGAAAAGGGAGCTCACATGCAATGACATTTAAGAAAACACCATGGACCCAATAAAACAACAGTTTAGGGAAGATTCTTTCTGATTTTAACAACAAACTCAGTCTAACTCCGTTGGGATGAACCAGAATGCATCCAGCGTTGGAGCCTGATTACAGAGTTTTGCACAACAACAACAAAAAAAAGCACAAAGGTACAGCAACTTCTTCATTCTCAAGATTTTTGGAATGAAATGTTTAATATGCTTTTATTATGTAACATTCATTAAGTGTTCAAATAGGTTTAAATGTGTTATTTTATTTGCATTTATAGATATTGACATGGGCAGCAAGAAGGTCGCTGGTTTGCATCCCAGTGAGGACGCCTGGGATCTTTCTGCGTGGAGTTTGCATGTTCTCTCCGTGCAGCGTGGGTTCTCTCCAGGTTCTCCGGTTCTCCGGCTTCCTCCCACAAGGTCCAAAAACATGTTGGGGTGATTCTAAATTATCCGTAGGTGTGAATGTGAGTGTGCTTGGTTGTCTGTCTCTAAGTGTAGCCCTGTGATAGACTGGTGACCTGTCCAGGGTGTCCTCTGTCTTCACCCTAAGTCAACTGGGATAGACTCCAGCCCCCCACGACCCTAGTGAGGTTTAAACGGTGTATAAGATAATGGATGGATGGATGGATATTGACAAACTGAGTTGTGTATTTTTTTTGCTTTTCTTCTTGTTCTAACTTTCCCCCTGCTGCGTGTAGCCTCACTGTGTGGCTTCATGTGGTTTTGTTGCCTTCTGGGTATCCTGCTTTGCTTTGTCTGTCAAAGAACTTTATAAACCCTTGTTTTATTTAAAGTGCTAAAAAACAAATGATTAATATTAACATGAAACAGTTGTGCAAATTTCAATCCTTCTGTTGTTGAGCTGTTATTGACAAATGCTGCATTTTTCTGTTGTTGGCTGGATCATGTTTCTGGTGTGTGAATAAAAGGCAGTTGCCAGTTACACAGAGGACGCCTTCAAATACACACAACATCACATTTACCATTAATGACATGGTTACAGGGGGACCTCATTACAGCATATATCCATCTGCTTGGAGAGCAGTGCCAGCTAAAAGGGCAGCTTGCTCACATATAATCTTATGCCCACGTGACCGATGCGAGAGCTCTCCACTTCAGAGTGAGGCCGCGGGTGAAGTGCAGTTCCTCCGAGTAACCTCAGAGACTTAAACTTGTACATGCACTTGAGCAAAAGCTCCCTGTTACTTCAATTGCAATTACATGAGCTTCATTAACCTTGATAGATTTTATTAAAAGGTGCTCTTTTTTTTTTTTCTTCCATCAACTGCCTCAGTCTGTTTGCAGAGGGATTGCATTGCTTGTGATGTTGAGATGTGTGACCGAAGCTCACTAAGTGGTAATTATCTATGGTGTGGGGATAATCTGTGTGGCTCCTTATGGGTAACGTAGTCCAGTCACGTTTTTCTGGCTAAGATCGCACTAGAGGGTAGAGTTGCTCGGCTCTTTGATCATAACAAGGGAGTTGAGAAATGTCCTAAATTTACACTGCCTTGATCAAATGAATCTGCTTTTACCGAAGAGAGCGACCACCCACATTTAAACAAGTTTATGATGCCTGAGAACAAGGGTGTGCATCAGTGATATTGCATTAGCATGTATATTCGTCTGTGTATACCTGAGGTGGTGAAAGAACTAATGAGCATCTGGGTATGTGGGTTTGTTCTTTTTTTTTTTTTTTTAAAGGAAAAGCAGAGAGAAGTCATCTTACCACACTCCTTCATTGGTTCATCAGACCAGTCCTTGCAGTCTTTCACATTGTCGCACACTTTGCTGCTGTCAATACACTCTCCGTTCTTGCAGCGGAACTTTCTCTGTCCGTCGCATTTCGTAACTGTGGTGAAGATGGAACAAAGTTAAAGATTAGATTTTCCTCATCATTTGGTAATGGGCCATGTTGTCAACCTATTATACAGTGAAAATTGAACTGAAGCAGGGATTACATGACAAATCAAACCTCTCAGATTAATCACAGTTTAACCATGAAACTTTCATCCCAAGTTACTATTGATTTGCATTCAAAATATTTAACTCGAAAAATACTATGTAACATGTATTTGATGCCATCCAAAAACAGAAAGAGATCTGAGTTGGAATCAGATGACACTGACACATTTCAGAGGAAAACAACAGTTTTGGGCTGATCAGGGTAAATGAACATGAACATCAGGGCTAAGATGCAAAGAATATTTTCACAATTATAACTTAATAGCAATTCTTTATTATTAAATGACTATTTTGCAGAATATTTGTATCGACTATGGATTATATCCACTCATATGGGGTGACATAAGCAGTAGATCTAGAAAATGAACCCTCAGTTGTTCTGCTGTTGCCTAAAACACTGAAATCCCTACAATTAGTTTTTTGTTCTGTGTTTGGGATAAGCTACAAACACACAATGGCTATGATCTATATGTGGGTATATATAGTATATTTATTTGAACTAAATCTGCAACACAATAATTTCATCCTAGCAGGACCCAAATTTCATTTCATTTTTGGTTATGACAAGATTTTGTTTCACACTTTTGTTAACAATACTAAACATTTGTTGTAGTTTGCGGAGCTACTGAGCCACTATTTCTCCTCAGTAAGAGGCGTTAGGCAGTGCTTGATAAACAAATTGATTAGCTCTATAAATATCATTGGGCTGGGGGGGGAGTAAGGCTAGAGATCGCTTGAGGTTTCCATTGGTCAAGCTGATTGAGGAGAAAGCACAGACAAGCCGATAATATGTAAATTCAAAACAATGATAGACAAGGAAAAAAATAACTGAGTATCATATATAAGGTAACTCACTGGACAGATAAGTCAAAATAGAGATACAGGCTGAACAGAAAATGTATGCATGGCATGGTTTGAACTACAGAGGAGTCAGGGGCAGATAAGCTCCCCAGACTTTAGCTCCCATGAAAGCAATGAAAATGTGAATATGGTAAAAAAAAAAAAAGAAAAAAGAAAAGGGTCACATAGTGTAGTAGACGTGACATCCTCTGCATGGTAATGTATGAAGCGATTTAACTGATATTGATTTCTATGATACTTATCTGTTCTGCGTGAGTGGTCATAGTAAATAAAAATACCTCCAGCTTCTTTACAAATGTGAATCATGCCTCCCTCATCCAGCACTCTGGAGAGTCAAGTGGAGTGCAATCAGCGGAGAAACATAACAAAACACTTTGGATACTTTGGCACTGCAACCTCTCGCAAACCTCTTTTGTCTTTCTTCCTTCCAGGGTGCTGAAATTTTCGATTAAAGTTTCTCACGGGGGCAGAATCAGCCGCCTGTGCTGCTGTCTAGCACGTCTCCGGCGAATCGCGTTGCAAGCTTTCGCTTACCTACGTTATCTGACAGAACGGCGTATTGTTCCGCCGACAGCCAGGAAGCTGTTTGTATTTCACACGCCCGTGCTCGTGTGATGCTCACCGTTGAGGCAGCCAGCTTCGTCGCTGTAGTCTGGACAGTCGTGAACTTTATTACACTGCTTGGTGCCGTGGATACAGGAGCCGTCGCCACACTGGAACTCATCGGGTCGACATGTGAGCAGGGCTGGGGGACACAAACCACACACACAGTAGAATTTGCTCTATTATTATTACAGTAGAAATATCACTGATTAGTCTCGTGTATGAAAAGATGCAATGCTGGAGGCTAAAAATGAAGATACAGAGCATGTTCAACAGCACACAGTCGAATTCAGCCCTTCATTTCTCTGCTGCTCTGTCATCATATGTGTGTACAATTTTTGTTTTGTTTCTCATCGAGGTAATTCCAATTCAATCCATCATTTACAACTCTCACCTTCTCACAAAATCCCATATTGAAATGGAAGCCATGCAGACACTCATACAGCATCTGAAGAAAACCCACATGCAGTGACCTATTGAGAATGCGAGTGTGTATGAAGACATTTGTTTGTGCTTGCTCTAACGGCGTAGGGCAGATTTATTTAACTCATTCGTCTTTTTAACTGGCTGTTTAATTATTCATGTGTTGTGTTTTGGGCTGCCTCTGCCAAGGGAACGGAGGCAGACATGATCAATGGCTGTGGCGCCTACAAAAACGCGTGGCACCACAATCACTGTATCAGGAAATATGGCATGAAAACACACGCCCTGTTTCAATAGGTGAGTGGTCACGTACGGGCACGTCAACAGACCAGACCTTTAATGCAGATGTGCGCGCATTTACATTAACTGAAAGGAATGCTGACTCAGACTTCTTATGCTCAAGCAAAAAAATAAAAAAAATAAAGACAAACATGCGCTAATGCTAAAATCAGCAAAGTGCGCGAGACATAATCCTGTGCCATCACAAAATGTGCTGATTCTTTCAGCCAAATGATTGGGATCTGAGCTCAGCTAATTATGATAAATCCCCAGGATGAATAGTAATAATAACGGATTGCCATCTGCAGAAATGTTGGCAAGAGGAAACGGACAAAACCAACTTAGATACGGTTTGACCATTTCTCATTTACATTAACCTGCTGTCACCCTCCTCACAGTCACTTGTCTCAGCGTGTCTGTGAAATAACGCCGGATTATTGAGACAGATGTTTCAAATAAGATAGGAGATAATAACTCAGGGACGGGTCTGTGGGAATGAGCAAAGCCTGACGGGATACAGGAGGAGGAGAGAACAAACCGGGTATGTGCAATGATTCTCATATTTCTCATTTACATTGAAATGTTGCACCTCCCTGAGCTGCGTTCTACACCCTCATTTACATTACACAGACATCCCAAACTATTACATCTTGTTGTACACAAACCTCCACCCGCCCACTTTTTTTTCCACTCTGTGATTAGCATGCACACAGTGAAATACGTACAGCACACACACACACACACACAAACAAACACAAACACACACTCACACTGCTCATGTCTCACCATGTAAAGAAACAGTAAGGATGCTTGAGATTGCATTAAGGTAAGACTGCTTCATCGGATAGCAGGTCTAATGGTATTCAATTATGTTACTGATCTATTTATTTTCATTTAACTTATTATTTCTAAAAAATATATATAATAGTCCTGGAAAATGGAATTCTTAACATATAGTTGAAACCAGAAGTTTACATAAAAAGACACAATATTTTTTTTTCTCAGTGTCTGACATTAAATCAGACTAAACTCTTCCTGTTGGTCAGTTAGGATTACCAAAATTATTTCTATCTGCTAAATGCCAGAATAATGAGAGAGAGATTTTTGTTTTGGATTTTTTTTTTCATTACTTTCTTCAAAGTCAGAAGTTTATATACATTTCCTTAGTATTTGGTAGCATTGCCTCTAAACTGTATGACTTGGGTCGAATATTTTGGGTATCCTTCCTCAAGCTTCTCACAATAGTTTGCTGGAATTCTGGCCCATTATATGTCTTTTTATACAGTGTATGTAAAATCTGGAAAATGGAACTCTTAACATATATCATACTATAGCCAGATAGCTAGGAGATAGAAGAGCAAGGAGACCTATAAGTAATATTTGGAACTAATACACCTTAGTAGTATTAAACAACAGAATTTTAAATAACAATGCATGTAGTTGAAATGCCTTTGTTTAGTTGTGTTTTCAAAAGTGAACTTTTACATTTATCCGTCATTGCTGATCTCTTGTGATGCTTAACAGTGGTAACTACAGACAGAGGAAGCCGCATCAGAGCCAGAGTAGCTTCTAATTAACTTTTATTGAACTGTTCTACTGACAAGGAGTTAAACATCCTCTTTGAAGGGTGAAAATCTAATGTTTTACCTTGTCAATATGCTGTTTTTTATTTGCTGGAAGATACATCACGAGCAATATAAAATACCATGACTGTGGAGTATCTTAATATTAATCAATGAGAAGACAGGCTTTAAAAAACACATAATGGTACCAATAATCAGGAAAATGTCAATTATTTCAGGTCTATCTACCAACAAGCAGTCAAAATAAAGGACTAATGACAAGAGCCTACTATACCGTCTGAAAACTAATTTTATGCCCTGCCTTCTACCCAGCATGAGACTCTGCTTTATTGTTTTTACTGTTCTTATTGTCCTTTTTAATGATTTCATTATACTTTTATTGTATTTTGCATTTTAAATGTTTTATAATTGTTTTATATTCTGTGTTCAGCACTTTGTTTCGACTTTTGTTGTGTTAAAGTGCTTTATAAATAAAGTTGAGTAGAGTTGAGTTGAGTTGAGTTGAGTATACCTAAAATTAGCTGCTAACATGTGTGAGTTCATTAAAGGTAGCATCATAAAAAAGGAAGTAGGGATGTACATTTTCTGTTACCTGGAAGCTTTGAGATTCTTTCCTTTGTCTGTGATGCTCATTTTGATATAGATTTTATTTTTTCTTAAACTTGTTGCTACAATATAATAATATCAAAAACCATCTCAAACCATCATGCAGTTTTTTAATCTTGTTTACAAGAGAACAAATGATCATCACTTACTGGTCTTTTAAAATTGTGTCAGAGGCACAATCACCATTTCGTGGAAAGACGGAGGGCTTTGAGGAGTATTAATATACAGACTGGGACATGATCTGTAACAGCATCCTTGTGGTTACACCTTTAAACCAACCTTCTGTGACTGTGTGATCATTTCAGCTCCTTTGAACGTGACGATTTCCATATCTGCGACTGTAGGAGCAGGTACACTCTCCATGAGTGTTTGCATCTGGCAGGAGTTTGTGAAAGTGTGCATGTGGCTGCGCAGTGTGCTTGTATCATGTCTTATGTGTGAGGCTGCTGTCATCTTACTGAGTGCTGTGTGGGAGTGTGAAGAGGAGACCAGATGGGGGTCTCGTTTGATGAAGGACCTTCACCTCCCACACATGCACGCACACGCACACACACACACACTCGCGAGCATGCTCACAAAAAACACATACGGTCAAAGTTACACTCAGAGTTTCTCCTTCTGCTTGTACTGATCACATGGTTGCTTGGCAACACACTCATGGATCATCACGATAAAGTTAGCATTGATCTTCCTTCAGTCATTTGGTGGCACGTTTGTCACATCGTCGCCGTAAACAGCATGCGAGCCTTCTGAAGTCGAGCCCCTAGTAGAGGGAAGCCACACACGTACTCATTGTTCCATAACACAACAGGCATTATTGTTGATAGCCGTTAATTCCCTTCATTAAAGGCTACGGCTGCTATTAACTTTTTATAATTACAACACCAACCAACAATGAATTTACCCTCCTAACAAGTTCTGTGCAAAGAGAGGATAGATTACATAAAATTGTAATTGGATGACATATTTCATAATTACAAATAACACAAATGTAATTCATTATTCTCAGTGTACAAAACTAGTGAAGCCGCATCCTTCAGCATGAGCAGTGACATCAGAGCCACCCTCCACACACTGAAAACACAGTCACATTGTTGAGAATAAACTACGCCAGGCTGTTTTTGTTTTAATTAAGGAACAAGTCAATGGTAACAACTCCATTTTTCTAATTGCTTTGAACAACGGTGATGTTGTGTGGCACTGGGGGAATGTTATATCACGCTGTGGCACAGACAGTTCCCGTTAGCAGGATAAATCTGTGAGGTTTGTTTGATAATAAGTAAAATCAAAGCGGCACTATCTTTTTACGAGTTCATTTAGTTTCACACTCGTTCGTAGCCTCATTTATCCACCCACTCATCAGTCAAACCGCATGAATACAACGCAGCTGACTTACGACAGTTTGCCTCGTCAGATTTATCCTTGCAGTCCGCGTCTCCGTCGCACTTCCAGTTCATGTGGACGCACTCTCCGCTCCCGCACTGGAACTCGCCCACCGGGCAGCGGGGTTTCTGGGGCTCCGTCCTCCGGCTGCAGCGCTCCATGGACTCGTCCGACTTGTCCTTGCAGTCCGGGTCGCCGTCGCAGCTCCACAGGGCGGGGATGCACTCGGAGTCGTTGCAGCGGAACTCGTGCTGGCCGCAGGTCGGGGCCGAGCACTTCTGCTCGTCGCTGGCGTCCCCGCAGTCGTCGTCGCCGTCGCACACGAAGATCGGCGCCACGCACTTCCCGTTGCGGCACTGGAAGTCTTTGGAGGGGCAGGCCTTGGCATCTGCATGGGACAGGTGGATAAAAATACAAGAGGTTGATTTTGTGTATATAGTGCATATACAGCATAATGTAGGATATAAATATAATTTTATATCATCACAGATTTGTAAATATTTTAATCCAAGAAACTCAAGTCAGCTGTTACATGAAGCAGAAATTCAGTCGAACTCATTTTGGAAGCTGTGTACGTAGGAGTAGATCAGAGCCAATCTGAATAAGAGGACAGATGCAGTTAACTTATCACAGATTTTCTTTAAACTCCTTCGGGGAGTAGAAATATATGCAGGAACGTCTTTCCCTGGTTTCTTTTTTTTTCTTTTTTTCTTGGAGATGGAATGAAAAAGCAGTGCTGGTGTTAAAATCTTAGACTTAATGAGCAGAAGGTGATTCCAGAGCTACTTCTTTTGCTCTTTTGGTGTCTGGAAAGAGCAAAAGAAACAGCTTGATCTAAAGTCAAACTGGTGCGACTGTTGCGTAGCGCTGAAGTGCACCTCTTTAAAGCACATATCCCTTGGAAGTCGTGACAGAACAAAGTGCGGCAGGTGCAGGAGCACAGAGAAGATACGCGGGAACTGTTGAATAACTGGGGATCAAGGAACGGGGAAGAAACACATCAGCCTTCCTCGTGGGAAAAGCATGAATGATTTAGAACGCGCAGAATCTAAACCCTTTCGCAAATATTATCACGCTGAAATGCAACAGACAAACACCACGCTGACCACGTTTAGCACAGGGGTTGAGAACACGTGTGCAGCAGGGGTGCAGTCTGGGAAAATGGGTGTATAATGAGCAGAGTTGGGTCACAGCTGCAGGTGCATGCCGCAGTGCAGAACCCCCCCTCCAGGAGCTTGTTTGCATACGTGTGAGAGCATTTGCACCAAAACACCCTCAGCGGCTGAATATTCATGTCCAAATCTGTCGTTTGATTTCTTCCACATTAGCTAAAGACATAAATTATCATTAAAAAAAGCGTGATAATTTGTCAGCTTTTAATGCCTGCCGTCTGATGGGGCGTGTTTGTGTTTTTTTACTTTCAAACTGCGTGTTTCCTCTTTGCCATATCAAAGCAGTGACATTATCAAATTCCAACCAGGCTGGACAAATCAATTTGAATCATGTGTACTGATATAAAATAACCAACAAGCAAACAGTTGCAACACTTTGATGCAACGCTCCTCTCTGGGCGACCGACATAACTGCTTCATCCTCTCTCTCTCTCTCTCTGTTACCTTCCCACACAGCGCGCCAAAGGGACTCATTATGATAATAGGCTATTGGATTCCCTGCTAGCTATTACAGCTAGCATGCTAATCATCCCCCACTCAGATCTAAGTAATTTAATTAACATGAGCACATAAACAACATCAGCAGCATCCCGGTAGAAACTCAGGTGGTTTGGGGGTCGTGCGAGGTGTTGTGTGCAAACAAACACTTGGGCAAAGTTGCAGCGTGATTATTTCCCAAACTTTATGTACAAACAGCATTAGGCATTTTGCTTATAAAAATCATACACGGATTGTACTTCATCCCAGGCGAGTCAGACTAAATACTTCAGTTTTTCATGCTTTAAAGAGTTTTTCATTAAAGCGAAGAGCCTGGTCAGCCAGGTGTGTTGGCTACAAACAGCAAGGCAGGGATAAAAAAGCTCGTTAGTATGCTCCCCACTGGGATACCCAACAACAAGAGAGATAGTTTGTTATCAAAAGCTTTATTTCCACTACAGAAACAGACAGAGGGGTTGGAATTCATCTATTTTCAGTGGAGTTTGAAACTCTCAGGCTGTATTAAAGCCATTCTTCAATACTTTAAGAGCAGCAGTGAGCTTGGGGGGGAGGGGGGATCTATTCTTATTCTCACAGTTGTTTCCCTTCATTCCTACACAAAATTGTCACAATTACACCATTTATCACAGCCAGAAAAAAACAGAGAGAATTATTGGATTTCAAACTTCCTGATGGTCTCTGAACTGTTTATCTCAGACGGAAAAAAATAATCTAAGCGTCAAATCGTGATATTTAATCAAAATCACTTTAATCAGCTTGTCTTCGTTTTTTAAAAAAAACCCCACAACAATGTATCGTAAACAAACTAAAAAAGACAAAAAGAAGCTGTCCACCTCGACATAATTTTACAGCCACTGATGATTCAGCTGTCAACAATAACCACGTTAGGAAAATTTAGGGACTTTTCAGCTGAACTTCAGACTGTGTTTACACTGAGCAGACAGGAAACAAGTACAGAAACTAAACTAAAATGTCAACACTAAAACCTCTACAGTATACAGATACATATTTTTTCAGTCTTCCTAACACCCGTCGGTACAAATTTTGTGCATGCTGATTTAGGTTTTTTCATTTTTTGCAGGGTAAATAATGGAAAAAAATTCAAATTTGTTTCAGTTTTCACTTTCAGTTCTCTCGCATCTTGTGGGGCGCTACCATGCAGCCCTGATGAATACATGCCAACAGTGGTCCAAACAGGAGCAAACCATGAATCAGCAGATTTATCCAGAGTGTTGCTGGAACATTCAAAGTTTTCTCTACATTATCAAAAAAAACTTTGAGAGTTTCATTTTAGTTTTACTAAACCAGGCTCAGGCTCTTTGGTAACTTAATTGAAAAAGATCTAAACCCTCCTAAACTTCTAAACATAATCCAAATAGGTAACTTAGTACTTTTTAAAAGAGACATTTTGATCTTGCATCTAAAAAGTTTTTGGTTGAATGCATGCATATCTAGTCTTTTCTCAAATTTAAACTAACCACTAGTACCTTACAAGAAGCAGATTCATTTCTTCAAATCTTCTCCAAGTATTACGACCAAATTTCCCATAAGTTCCTCCTTTATGACTCAGAGAGGATATTGTCTCCTCCAGCTCTATTTGTGCTTGTTGCTTTTACTGTGGTTTTACTTCACCAGCTTGCATCTGCAAAATGCAATGCAAAATCTTCTAGATGACAATATTTCCCTTAGTGACTGTCCACTTTCACATATTTATATAGACATTATAGATATTGTAATCACTTTGAGTTTGGCCAATTGTGTAGCTGCTTTTAGCATTCCTTTTTGCACTACATACACAATCTTCCATTTTCTTCTTACATTCATTATTGTATTTTTTGTGTTCCTTATATTTGTTGTAGTTTTTATTTATATTTTAATTTTGTCAGTATTTCTGCTGTTGTTAACATCCACATTTCCCCGAAGAGGAATCAGTTCATTACTTTATCACTTTGTAAATGGCAGTTAAACATAACATCCTTAAAATGAAAGCAAGTTACTGCTATTAGAATGCCACATTTGGTACCTTTCAGCACTAAAACATCACCACATACAATATGCAAATCTTTTAGACAGCTATTTTTACATTCTTATCCTTTATGTAATAGCACCAATAATGAATGTGACTGGCCATAAACTCATTATAGAGCATGAAAACAACTCCAAACATCTGTCTGGGTGTTCTTTTCTGTTTATTGCACTCTGAACAAAGTTCAATGATAAATAAAAAGCAGAACTTTTGAAACACAGAGTTAAGAACTTTTGCACAGTGCCGTATGATATCCTTGAGTAAAGGCCTGGTCTGCTCTGTGTTTGTTCAATCCCCTGATCCTGTCACTTGGCGTCGTCAAATCTGACACACAAGAAGAAGACTGATGGATCAGTCAGTGTCGCCGGTCTCTCGGTTAACGCCGGCCTAAACCAATCCTCAGGAACCAGGGGGGGACAGGAGAGGAGGCAGGTGCTCAGAGGACCACATGTGGTGGCAGATCTATTGACAGAGGGGTCAGTAGAAAAGCTTTCCCACCCATTCCCAGAACAGCATGAAAGCTTGATTTAATAGCGGATAAAAGCGGGCAGATACTCAGATGTGGAGGGATTACAGTCGATAAACTGTCACCTGTATGGTACAAAGAAAATCAAAATGAATATATTTCTGCTAAAATAAATTATGAATGGTTTGTGGATGTCTCAAAATACTGAAAAACTCAACGTATAAAAAGTCCTTCTCTCTGTAGGATTGAGCAGAAGACAAATGTAAAAAAAATAAGTCAGAGTCTAAAGGAATCAGATTGGAGGTGGACTCCTGACTGTTAATTAAACACATCCATCCAATGGATTATTCTACCAATTACAATTTTAAATAGGTAATCAGTAATCTCTACCTGATTACATCTTGACGGTAACCTCCTCCCTCGTAAGTGAATGTATTTAACTTGGGGTCAAAGCTTTCTATCCATCCATCCCCAGACCCACCACTGGACAGCTAATAGATGGAGCAGCGAGATAGGGCACAGCTTATTGACCTTGATCTGAAGGACAATTGAACTCTCTTCCAGCATAGACTCGTACATAGCAAGCAGCTATGGACACACACACAGTGGAAAAGATGTACAATCTCTACCAAAACACACTTGACCAGAGGCACAAATGTACAGATAGACAGTAAAAGACCCGAACGAATGGAAAGCGCAGATACGAGATAGACACACACATGCACGCACACACACTTCATCTCACTGCTTTTTCTCTACGAATCACTGACTTTAATGTTTCTGGAGCGAAGAATCCAATCAGACCCTGGTCCAACATGTCAGCCGCTGAGCCGTGGTGTGGGAGCATGTACATGTGTGCGCACACAAGCACCTAATCTCACCCACTTGTCTACAAACCTCAGTTCACCAGGTGTGCGAGCAGAAAAAAAGCAAGCTGAAGATCACGGATCAGCTCTTAACAACTAGAAACAGAGATAAAATATTTACTTCGCAGCCGCTGCGTAAAAAGCTGCATTTAGCTGAACAGAGCAGAAGCGCGCTCGCTCTAGAATCTAAAACAGACAGCAACACCTGAAGGCATTTGATTGGTGAGTAGACTTAATGGGCCGAACAGCCGACAAGCAACATGTTCATCTACTCCGTGGAATATCAATATGCATGCCTCATCTTTCACACGAGAGCATCGATAAAAAACAAATCCGTGTCGAGTCGGGCATGTACTGTCA